ACTGTTCAGGGCTACGAAGAAAGCTTTTGTCTCTCATCTTGTTAGAGACAACTTCCCAAAGAAGCTTGTTACGCTTTGTCTCCATGAAAGTTTGATCCAACTCTCCTCTTATGGCTATCAACTCCTTAGTCTCTTCTAGGCTCCACTGTGGAAACCTATCCCCTGTAGCCGGAGAAGCTAGCTCGGGAGTTTGAGATTGAGGATGAAGATGGTGATGATGTTTGTTGAGGTATTGAAGCTGGTGAAGCTGATGATGCTGATCCATATCAAGAAGAACTAATCAAAACAAGAATCACCAAAACGATCTCTAAAGACTAAAAAGCAAAGGTTAGATTTCACTTTTTAGATCGAAAATGAAAAATACAGTTTTCTTTTCTTTTTTTGCTTTGAGTTTGTAATGTGAAAACGTATAGAGAAAGATGTCTTATTTCTTTGATCGTAATTCTTTTCTTCTTCTCCACTCTCTCTTTCTCATGTCGCCATCTGTCTACGCGTTTACTTTTTTTTTTTGGTTGGATTTTTTCAAATATTATTTACTTTTTCTGTTTTCTTTTGACAAAATATTAAAGAAAAAGCTTTCGGTAAATGTGTCGTTATTTGATGTTAATTAACACTCTAATTATTTAAATGGCCTATCGAAAAAGGATTAGCCTCTAATTAAAGTATATAATCTATTAACAACTTGACTGGTGATCTATTCACGGATGTGGATATTTCTATCGTTTTCTTCTCATAATAATCACTTTATGTTTGACAAATAATATTCTAGATTTGACAGTCGACATTTAATCAATCATATGGTTTATTTTTTTTTCCAATTCTTTTGCCAAATGTATTTGAAATAGATTTATCACCACTCTTTCTTGGTGTTGGGATAATTATAGAAAAAAATGCAACTTTGATAATACTTTTCCATAACCTTTTTAAATACAACCATTGTTTCCAAAGATTCAAAAACTTCAAATTTGTCAAAATCCTTCATATTTATTATTTATTTATAAATTAAAATAAAATTGTGATAATTGCAACAGTATATAAAATGTGGTATTTTTTAAGAGAAAATAGACTATATAATTGAATAGATTAAGTGAAACACAATGGTGAGAGTTATTTATATACTCCTGGCTAAAATCTAAAGCCCTTTATGCAAACTTTAAATTGTAATTGGGCTATTTTTCGGTTTAAACCATTGACTGCTTTTCATTGGTCATGCTAAATCTTATTAATGTGACGATTGTATTGCGTTGATGTTTCATCACACCATTGCGAGAAGCTTCGGGTTTAGTATACTTTTGTAATATTGTGTGATTCTTAATTATCGGCGACCAGTCGTAGCGTTAGCTACTTAGCTTCACTCCCAAGTCTCTATATTTACGACTTTAGTGGAATAAAATGATATTATCTTATATCGGTGGATTCAAAACTATACAGTGAAACCTCTATAAATTAATAATGTTGGGACTACACCAAAACTAAATTTTTTATTAATTTATAGAGATTATTAATTTATCGAGATATTAATTGAACCAAAAATTCAATTTGGGACTATGAAATTATATTAATTTATAGAGATATTAATTTATAGATTATTAATTTAAAGAGGTTATACTGTACTTTTTTTTGTCGACATTCAAAACTATACATAGTTTGGCATTTTCACATATTATCCAAGCTAGTATCTGTCTTCATAAATAAAAGAAAGTTTGAACACAAATTTTTCCAAAACTCATGATGCTCTTTCACCCTTCAACACATTGCTTTTGTATTTTGGGCTACTGATTTTCTGGACATTTTCAAAACATTTTTTTGGGAAAAGGTTCATGTAATCATCGTATGAAACTACTTTATGGAAATCGAATTAGATGGCCTAGATACTAACCAAATAATATGGTTCACTAAGTTTTAGATACTTAGTAATGGGTGTACAAAAGTGTTGAGCATCATGTGATCGTTAACTCCAGTATGGATCGAGTCTCTTTGGCACTCTTCTACAACCAAGAGGCGATATCCCGATCGAACCTACCAAATAACTAATAACCCAAAACCAACGAAAACGACCTGATCTTACTACACCAATCAGGTTTGTTGAGTACCAGCTAAGTCACAAAAGGGCTTTAGTGAGAAAAACCATGTCAATTTCACGTTTGCAGGCAAATGATAATTGATACACCCCCTCAAATGTATAGTCACTCTTATAGTTGGTATCAAATGTAACACTAACAAATTCTATACAAATTTTGTTTTAATATTAAAATATACATCAAATCTTAAATTTTTGACAAATATTACAACACTAATAACAAATTAAAAATGACTAAATAACACTAAAATACCAACAACATTTACATAACGACAAACAAATCGAAAAACAAAAAAAAAACTTATTTGATAGATTAAAAAGGAAAGACAACAATCACATATAAATCTTACTAACATAACAAATAAAAACATCATGAGTCATCTTAAAATAAAATTGAACTAAATTCTTTTAGAAATGTTTTAGTTTTAAAATCTATTAATTATGGTTAGATTTTTACTTTTATTATACTTTATTATTATTCTTTTTATTATTATTATTATTATTATTATTTTTATTACTATTAAATGTATAATCACTCTTATAGTTAGTATCAAATGTAACACTAACAAATTGTATACATTTTTTTAATATTAAAATATACATCAAATCTTAAATTTTTGACAAAAATTACAACACTAGTAACAAACTAACAATGACTAAATAACACTAAAATACCAACAACATAACGACAAACAAAAAACAAAAAAAAAACTTATTTGATAGATTAAAAAAGAAAGACAACAATCACACATAAATCTTACTAACATAACAAATAAAAACATCATGAGTCATCTTAAAATAAAATTGAACTAAATTCTTTTAGAAATGTTTTATTTTTAAAATCTATTAATTATGGTTAGATTTTTACTTTTATTATTCTTTATTATTATTCTTGTTATTATTATTATTATTATTATTATTATTATTATTATTAAATATATAATCACTCTTATAGTTGGTATCAAATGTAACACTAACAAATTCTATACAAATTTTGTTTTAATATTAAAATATACATCAAATCTTAAATTTTCGACAAAAAATACAACAGTAATAACAAATTAAAATTGACTAAATAACACTAAAATTCCAACAACATAACGACAAACAAATCAAAAAACAAAAAAAAAAACTTATTTGATAGATTAAAAAGGAAAGACAACGATCACACATAAATCTTACTAACATAACAAATAAAAACATCATGAGTCATCTTAAAATAAAATTGAACTAAATCCTTTTAGAAATGTTTTAGTTTTAAAATCTATTAATTATGGTTAGATTTTTACTTTTATTATACTTTATTATTATTATTATTATTATTTTTTATTATTATTATTATTATTAAATGTATAATCACTCTTATAGTTGGTATCAAATGTAACACTAACAAATTCTATACAAATTTTGTTTTAATATTAAAATATTCATCAAATCTTAAATTTTTGACAAAAATTACAACACTGATAACAAATTAAAAATGACTAAATAACACTAAAATACCAACAACATTTACATAACGACAAACAAATCAAAAAAAAAAAACTTATTTGATAGATTAAAAAGGAAAGACAACAATCACACATAAATCTTACTAACATAACAAATAAAAAACATCATGAGTCAAATTAAAATAAAATTGAACTAAATTATTTTAGAAATGTTTTAGTTTTAAAATCTACTAATTATGGTTAGATTTTTACTTTATTATTCTTTATTATTTCTTGTTATTATTATTATTATTATTAAATTTGTTTATATTTTTAAAATATAAAAAATTCTAGCCATAAGAATACTCCATCATCTTACTCTTTTGACAAAAATATTCACCACCATACATTCTTTATTTTACTTATCATTGTGGATGTGAATTTCCTCATTCCTTTGTTGTCATAAAATTTGAGATTTAATGTAAAAAGTTGTGTTCCAAAAAAACTTCACTACAAATCTATGAACTAACTAAAAAATTCAATCACATTTTCTTAACTATTTTTTATATTTATATAAGTTACAAAATATTGTTGACATCAAATCTTGAATTTTGACAAAAGTTACAGCACTAAGAATAAAGAAATAAATAAATAACTAAATAAAAACAATAAAATACTAATGACAATATAACGACAACAAATCGAAAACAAAAACAAAAACCTATTCGGTCGATTAAAAAGAAAAAAGCAATATATGTAAATCTTATTAAGGGAATTAAACCATGAATCATCGTAGAATAAAATTGACCTAATATTTTTGTGAAAAATAATTTACTTATTAAAATCTGTTAAAATATGTTTTATTTTCTTTTTTACTTTTTTTTTTTTTTTCAAAATATGATTAAATCTTTCTATCCATCACAATACTTCATCATCTTCCTCTTTTGAGAATAAAATTCACCACCATACCAATTTCATTTTCCATGCCAAAGAGGAAATTTCTTCTTTCCTTTGTAGTCAAAAAAATTTGAATTTTAATAAAATAAATTTGTGGTCCAAAAACAAAAACCTCGCTAAGCTAGGGACTAACTAAAGAGTTTCATTACATTTCCGAGATATAACATTCAATAAAAATCATATCCTATGATGGGGTTACACAATGGTATTATCACAAAGATGGTGGTCAAATACCAAAAGAAAACGCAGTGAAAAAAAAAATATACTTGTCAATACTTGAATTATATTTTTGAATTATTAATAATATTTTTTGTTTCATGATTACACTGATTCATATATTTTACACGGTATAAATTAGGTTCACTTTCTCTATCTTCTTTCTACATATTGGACATCTCCCAACACCTTCTGCTATCCTGTGGACATATTATCCATCACAATGTTAGATACTTTGGATTAATCTCAGCACCAGATAAGACTATTCAACGAGACAATTGTATACTATCAAATTAGTTTCATTAATGGATAAGAACTTACTTTGTTCCACATTGATAACAAGAGACGCAATGGCCACATGGGAGGAAAAAACAATCTCGTTGGGCATCAAAACAAATGTCACAACGAGATCTAGTTGCACACATTTCTTCACTTTTATTACCAATAGAGTCTTCAACATCAGCATCACATGCTGCTAAAGACTCAGTGCATGAATATTTCATGCTGGGACCATCGTCATCGTTGTTTACAAGTAGACTTACAATCGATGAATCATCATCTATTACATATTCATCTTCCCCAGCATACTTTTTATAGATTTGTATAGCTACCAGCATGAAGACAATCAAGCCTGTATATGCACAAATGCTATATGTAATTGATACCAAAAAAGAAGAATTTTACAATGCTCGGATACCAAATGAAATGTTTACCTATGACAATGCTATCTACGATCCAGTTAGCTTGATACGAGATTCTGATAACCCATTCTTGTTCTTCAGCTAATAGTCCCTGACCTCAGAGACAGTGAGAGATGAGGATTCATTCATCTGAGTATGAGAATAATATAGAAATATTTTGTTAGTGTAGTTCATATAGAATACGTACCTGTCTCGGTGCTGGTGAAGTTAAAACAAAAGGTATTGTATTGAATGTGCACTCGCTGTTACTGAAGTTACACTTGTAGAATGCTTNTCTTCAGCTAATAGTCCCTGACCTCAGAGACAGTGAGAGATGAGGATTCATTCATCTGAGTATGAGAATAATATAGAAATATTTTGTTAGTGTAGTTCATATAGAATACGTACCTGTCTCGGTGCTGGTGAAGTTAAAACAAAAGGTATTGTATTGAATGTGCACTCGCTGTTACTGAAGTTACACTTGTAGAATGCTTCTTTAGTGTCATACACGACAGCCGTCACATCAATATCCAATTCCACCTGAACAGATACCATCTCAAGTTTTTAAAAAAGGGGGACTTGAGCAAGAAAACACAATAGAAACCAAAGTAATTATTACCTCTACGTCCTTCAAGTTTGGGTTAGTCACAGCAAGTTGATAACTTCCAGAATTACTTATGTTCACTTGAATCATACCACTCCCTGTAAAAGAATTTTTATTAACTCATAAATAGACAGTGTAACCAACTCACTTAAGTTGGATATACTAGTTGACTAACCTTGAATAGTATTCAATGAGCGCTCGGTAAAGTCAAATAGAGGTTCCTCCAACAACCAGTTAATGACCTTTGCTGCGAAAACGAGAGCATTTAAATAATTAGCTGACATCCCTAGAAGGCAACACTTTTAATCAAACAACTCATTCACAATTAAGAATTTTTTTCTTAGTTAGGTTTTGCTTTACGCTTTGGAAATAGGTTTAGGAAAGTTATAGACTTTTGCTAAGGAATTTTTTTTTTTTTTTTTTTGCTAAGAAATTTATTTATTTATTTTTATTTTTTGCTAAGGAATTGATTGGTTACATGTTCCTCATTAAAGAGGAGCTTTAGCCTTTAGGGTATATCTTTGTGTTTATAATTTGCGTTTATGGTACATCTTTGTTTTCATAAGTTGCACTCAGCCACAGCCTTAATGAAACAATATCAAACCAACATGCAACCATATATAGGAGAAAGACAAGCAATAACACAAACATAATATCAACCAACATGCAACCATATATAGGAGAAAGACAAGCAATAACACAAACATAATATCAACCAACCTTCATCAACCGCAAGCCGAACTGAACAGCCTTCAGGTTTCACCGTATATGAAATATTTAACGAAGCTCTTTCGTTCAGATAGTAAGGCCATCCCTGAGAGAAATGAAACCAGTTCAACAAATTGTCTGATAAAAATTATACAACTACTACTCTCAATACAACAACAATCACATGAGGAATCTCAAACCTACCTTGGAAGACCTAGGTGAGAGAGACACCAAACGAGATTCAGACCAGTTCACTACATTAACACGAGGAGATGTATAGAACCCAAATAGCTGAAGACCAGATTCAGAACCATTCAACTTGTCCACCTAACAGAAAAAAAAAAACATGTCTCAAAACATTAGCACAGCACGTGAAGGAGCACAAAAAGATGTAACCAGACAACAACCTGAACGCTTCCGAAAAAGATGGAGTTTGCTTCAACAAGGATCGAAGAGTTAGGTCCAATCCAGACATGTGTTGGTATTACGTTCATAGTAATCATCACTGAGTCACAACCAGAGTCAGACAAATCACATATAAAGGAAGAGATCTTTCAATGCTAAACCAAAATCATCAATGAGATCGAAACAAACCAATTGCGCAGCCATATATAAACGACGAAAATAATATCAATTCAATATATGGGATCAAATCGCCCGCACACAGCTTAACATCACGAAAAGTTGAGTATCTCGCAGGTGCAGGGTGAAGGGTCGGTGGAGAATCCATTCTAAGCAATCTAGAGAGAGGGAGGAAACAGAGGAATAAGTGAAGATATGATGATGATGAAAAAATTGATGGAAGCTCTAGTATATAAAGGCAGAACTTGAGAATATGTGAGTCACTGAATCCATGAAGAAAATTAATTTATGTAACGGTTACAATTTTTGGAAGATGAATGACGGTAGTCAAAGTCTAGATAGTATTTGATTTCATTGAGGGTGTTTTCGTAGTTTTGTTAGGATAACATCTTATATGTGCTTTGTTGTCATCACACGATTATGTCTTGTTTTTTTTTTGCTTAAGGAAAGTGTATTTTTAAAAGTAACATTCCTAAATGATTTATTTTTTGGTTCATCCCCTAGAATGAACTTAGAGGTTCACCAACCAATAGCATAGTGTTATTTTCTATTTAATATTTTTTAGAAACAGAAACAAAATATCTCCTAAAATGAATCTAGAGGTTCACCAACCAATAACATGGTATTATTTCATACTTAATATCTTTTAAAAAAAGAAAGAAAATCTTGTTAAAGTTATAATATGTTATTAAATTAAAAATAGAAAAAAATAAATAAAAATATTTACAAAAAACAAAAAAAAAGTTTAAAAAAAAAAATATTTTAACATTATATTATGTTTTTAAAATAAAAATAAAAAACGAGAATAATTGTAAAAAACAATTTACAAAAAATATTTTAATATATATTTAAAATGAACGGAAATATTTTTTAGTAGTAATATAAAAAAAATACTATATTGTTTAGAAATATGGATAATCGTATAAAAATATTAGTTATAATGTAGATTTAACTATAAAATAGAAATATATATTTAATTTAAAAACATTCAAAATAAAAGTTAGGTTTAACATAATGTTTTTGTTTAAGTAAGATACAGTAGAACCTCTATAAATTAATACTCGATAAATTAATAATCTCTATAAAATAATAAATTTTACGGTCCCAACTTGGGCCGGTGTAAAATATGACACATATTGATAAAATAATAAGATAATAATATTTTTAAAAATGCCATGTAAATATATAGTCCCATTAAAATCATAAATTAATAATCTATGTATATATAGTTTTATATAAGTACAATCTAACAGTATGTTGTTGGTTTTATATTTACAATAAAAATACTAATATATTTTGATAATATTTAGTTAAATTATATCAAAAACCACATAAAAATTCTATGAAACATAAGAATATACAACAAATAAGATAATAAAAAATATATAAAAATCAAATTTCTAAAATTTAAATAATGTATCTCTGCGAAAATTAAATATTTTTTGACTTTATAAATAAAAAAGGAAAAAATAGAAAAAAAATCTGAATAAGGAAACTTTTGATAAATTAATATCTCTATAATATTATTTGAGAAGTCAGTTTCTTACGTGTCACGCTCACGTTAATTCTCACGATGGTTGATTACATAGATACCCTTAATGAATTGTTAGATTTTAAGATTATTTTTATTTAGTTTCCTTTTTAACATTTTCCAAATAACATATATAATAAAAAGGAAATATTTCTAAAAAAAATTTAAAAAATTAAAAACGAAAATATATGTATATAATATGACTTTATTAAAAAGGAAAATTCACAAAATAGTAATATCTCCGTTAATATATATTTTTGAATAATATAAAATATATTTTCAAAATAATAAAATTATATATGTTCATGAACATTCAAAAATTTATCAGTTACACTTTATTTTCTAATATTATTTAGAAGTCAACACATAATTTTGATAAATATTATGAAAATACATGTATATTTAAGCGATAAATAAAACTAATTTAATTTGACTTAACTAAAATAAAGAGTAAATAAATATTATAAAAATATATGTATATTTAAGCGATAAATAAAACTAATTTGATTTGACTTAACTAAGATAAAGAGTAAACAAATATTATAAAATATATGTATATTTAAGCGATAAATAAAACTAAATTGATTTGACTTAATTAAAATTAAAAGTAATTATACTTCAATATTAATTTAAAAATATATTTAACTCAATATACTCACAAAATGAATGACTCGACTAATCTAATTTATATCCAAAATTAAACATCTAACTACAATAAGAACATATAATTTTATAATAAAATAATAATAATAATAATAATAATAATAATAATAATAATAATAATAATAATAATCTATTTAATTTTATACATATAAATTAGAGGTTGACTCAAATCATATTAAAAAGAAAAACAAAATATTAATAAATTACAATTTAATTCTTTTGTAGAATTTATATATGTGCATGAGACTTCAAAATATTATTATTATATTCATTTATTTAATTTTGTCTCAATCACTTCAGATTATTATTAATTTCATTTTAAGCATAATATATATTAAGTTATACATAATTTAAATATAATATATTTACATATCTAAAAATAAATACATATCTAAGACAATAACCAACCGAAATGAAAATAAGAAAATTAATCAAAGTTTTATTATAGCTGAATTCGAAAATAGATATTATCCAATATACCAAATTGATAACCAAACCGACTATTGATCCAAAAATAATTAAACCTACAATAATATATCCAAAATCATATGTATAATTAAAATAATATAATATTTATTAATATAAATTCTGCATATGTTTGTTCAAAATTAAAACTAAATATCAATTATTATAAAATTTTACTTTTATAAATATTCATACCCGTGCATGAGCACGGGAAAATCACCTAGTTAATAAAATTTCAAAATCCCAACATTATTAATTTATAGAGGTTTTACTGTAGATTGTATATACAAAACAAAGGAAACAAAGAAATATTAGAATTAGCTCATCTGAAATATTACATAATCCCCGTATATATATACTAATGGAGATGAACAATAAGTTACAGTGAAATATAATGTACTGAATTTATTGCATACAAAATACATTTAAGATGTTATAGTAGAAGATATAACATTAGTAAATTTTACATTTTCGATATAAATTATAACACTAATAAAGAATTAAAAGAGATGATTAAACAACACAAAAATACAAACGACAATAAACCGAAAGAAAAACAAAATATTTATTCGTCAGACTAAAAGGGAATGACAACAAAATACACAAAAATCTTATTAAAAGAAAATATAATGAGATTCAACGATTGCCACTAATCATCGTAGAATGTAATCGGCCTTTTTCTTTTAATCGGCCTAAAACTTATTTTACAGAAATGTGTTACTTGTCAAATCAATTAATAATTAATTAATTTTTATATATAATATAGTATATTTAAAAGGCACCAAAAGATGTTTAGATCTCTTATCTTATAAATTATTTAAGATCCATATATCCTAGATTAATCCAGAAAAAAAAAAGTTATTGTAGGATTTAAACATATTGAGTTTGTTTAATGCAGACAAAAACTATTCCTAGTTCGGTAAAGAAAACATTTTAGGCCTAATGCCGAACAAAAAATTAAAAGAACTCAGGTCTTTAATGTGTAGATTTAATATATTGGGCCTCTCTACTGCATTATAAGAATTATGGTCTTTCAAATTCAAAGCATATTACAAAAATAATTACGAGACCCAATGCTTTTACACTGTCAGCGCATGCCAAAGATAGGGTCTAAACGAAGACTGTCAGCTAAGCATAGTGATAGTGCCATAAGTTTTTTTTTTTTTTGTAACATTGATAGTGCCATAAGTATAAACATGAAAGATAAGTAAAACCAACCAAATGCAACGGCGGTTTAACGCGTGGGCTACTTTATCTAATATATGATATTGAATCTTTTTTTTTTTGAGCAAACATATATTCATTTCATAAATATCAAAGGTTTTACACTCCATGATCGAAGGAATTTAGCAATGAGAGCGCTGATTTTGCCACAGCATCAGTCATCCCATTACCTACTCGGGGTACATACGAAAAGGAAATTACATTAAACAAAGCACTGAAATGATAGATGTCAAATAAAAAATGCCGAACAACGCTGGTATCGAACCACCACTCTTCAATAACTTGATCAAAGAAAGGAAGTCATACAGGATCATCAGAGATTTAATATTCAGCGAGGCAGTATACATCACTGCCGAACGGATGGCGAGGCATTCAGCCATTAGCACCGAGGAGACAAACTTGCGTGAAGAAGAAATGGGTTCCGTCGGAAACCGGTTGTTGCGGCCAGAGAAAACACACCATGTACCACAAAATCCAGTACGAGCATCCCAAGCACCATCAGCATCAATATATGATATTGAATCTATAATTGCATGCTTGTAACATATGATGCGGTAGTTACTTCCAGTGAAGTTCGGTTGCCAATCCGCTTCTCTCGCTTCCTTCACGACAATATCGCTTGACTTTGCTGTGAAATGGATGATGGATTCCATCACCAGAGCCTTTCGAACAAGACCCGTGTCGTTTTTTGCTCCTTCACTACAACATATTCTCGCTTGTGGTTGGTCATATAGCAAGACACTAACAAAGAAAGAAAAAATAATTCTTTTGGTAAAAACAAAAAACAAAAAGAAAAAAATAGTTATTAGACTTGTTGTTGTTTCAGTTAGCCTACTTTGTATATATATTTTCTCCCATAATTTTCTTTAAATAATCGTTGAATAAAAATTGTTAAAATCACCAGTTTTGAAAATTAGGATCTAGTACTCTGTAATAATGTTATTCACACCGTGTAATAATCAATTAATTCTACAAAGGAAAGAAAATAATAATAACAACAATCTGTAATTCAAGTAGAAATATTATCTC